CTGCATCTCCATTGGCCTATTCCTTAATCCAGTTCACTTTTGCTATCTCTGATTTAATGTGGTGAGTAGTCACTGATGCTAACTAGCATTTGACCCATCCTTCTCTCCCTCAAACTGAATGTAAAATTAAATCATTTTATGGTTGCTCCTGCCTAGTGGCATCTTTACCGTGAGGTCATGAATTAATCGTGTCTGTTTGGATAATAAAGTCTAGTAAAGCCAGCCCTCTGGCTGGTCCCAGAATATGCTATTATAAGAAACTATCCCGACAATATTCTATGAACTGCTTATGTGGGCTACCTTTGACCATCTGATTTATCCAGTCTGTAAAAATTTTAGCATCTTTCATGATTATGGCTCACAGTATTTCTCCCTTTATACTACAGTCTATCATGTGGTTACTGTTAGAGAGCCTGTACACTGCTCCACAATTGCTTTTATCATTTACCATCTCTGCCCAAAGAGCTTCTACATTGTTGTTCCCTCCACTTAGTCAACCCATCTCTATTGTGATCATACTTTATGAATTAACAGAGCTATTCCCTCCACCTTTTCGTAGTTCCTCTCCTTCCTAAATGTCCTGGACCAGATATAAGCATTTTGAATTGATTTTAATATGACAGGACAGGATCTGGCCAAAGTGGACTGGGAGTAACTATTTGTAGGACAATCTACATTGGCACGGTCGGAATTTTTCAAAAAGGAAACAGTGAAAGTGCAGAGGCATTATCTTCCTGTAAGGGTGAAGATTGGGACCAAAATTCTGGAGAAGCCTGGTCATTATGGAATGTACAGGACTGGATGAGGAAAGGAAAAGGAAGCTTATGGTAGATAAGGTGCCATGGGCCATCAACAGCAGCAGAACTCCAGTACTCCAGCACAATCTGTAACCTCATGGCCTGGCTTATCCCACATTCAACCATTACCATCAAACCAGAGGATTAACCCACGTTCAATGCAGAGTGCAGGACAGCATGCCAGGAATAGCACCAGGCATAACCTAAAAATGAGGTGCCAACCTGGTGAAGCCACTAAACAGCATAGTCAGCAAGTACTAAGCAGGACTAAGAGGATGCAGTCCTGCCAGATCCAGTCATGAATGATGGTGAGGAATTGAACTGGAGGATGAGGTTCCATAAATATTCCCATCCTCAATGATGGAAGAGCCCAGCACATCAAGGCAAAAGATAAGGCTGAAGCATTCGCAGCAATCTTCAGCCAGAAGTGCCGAGTGGATGATCCATCTCTGTTTCCCAGCGTCACAGATAACAGTCTTCAGCCAATTCGATTCACTCCACATGATGCCAAAAAACAGTTGGACTCGTTGGATAGTGCAAAAGCTATGGGCCCTGACAACATTCTGGTAATAGTACTGAAGACTTGTGCTCCAGAACTTGCTGCTCCCCTAGCCAAACTATTCCAGTATAGTTACAGCACTGGCGTCTGCCCGACAATGTGGAAAATTGCCCAGGTATGTCCTGTCCATAAAAAGCAGGACAAATCCAATCTGGCCAATTACTGTCCCATCAGTCTACTCTCAATCATCAGGAAAGTGATGGAAGGTGTCATCAACAGTGCTATACAGCAGCACCTGCTCAGCAATAACCTGCTCAGTGACGCCCAGTTTGGGTTCTGCCAGGACCACTCAGCTCCTGACCTCATTACAGACTTGGTTCAAACATAGACAGAAGAGATGAATTCCAGAAATGAAATGAGAGTGACAGACCTTGACATCAAGGCTGTATTTGACCAAGTGTGGCATCAAGGAGCCCTTACAAAACTGGAACTGATGGGTATCAGGCAACAAACTCTCTGCTGGTTGGAGTCATACCTGGCACACAGGAAGATGGTTTGGAGGTCAGTCATCTGAGCTCCAGGACATCTCTGCAGGAGTTCCTCAGGGTAGTGTCCCAGGCCCAACCATCTTCAGCTGCTCTATCAATGACCTTCAGAAGTGGGGATGTTCACTGATGATTGCACATGTTCAGCATCATTTGTGACTCCTGAGATACTGACGCAGTCTGTGTTCAAATGCAACAAGATCTGGACAATATCCTGATGTTGGCTGACAATTGGCAAGTAACATTCGCGCCACACAAATGCCAGGCTATGACCATCACCAATAAGAGACACTCTGACCATCGCCTCTTGGCATTCAGTGGTGTTTCCATCACTGAATCCCATCACTGAATTCCCCACTGTCAACATCCTGTGGGTTACCATTGACTAGAAACTCAACTGGACTTGCCTCATAAACACAGTGGTTACAAGAGCAGGTCAGTTGTCAGGAATACTGCAGCAAGTAGCTTATCTCCTGCCTCTCCGAAACCTGACCGCCATCTACAAGGCACAAGTCAGGAGTGTGATAGAATATTTCCCACTTGCCTGGATGAGTGCAGTCCCAACAACACTCAAGAAGCTTGACACCATCCAGGATGAAGCAGCCCACCTGATTGGCACTACATCCACGCATCTACTCCCTCACTATTGACACTCAGTAGCAGCAGTGTGTACTATCTTCAAGATGCACTGCAGAAATTCACCAAAGATCCTCGGATAGCACCTTCTGAACCCACGACCACCATCACCTGTAAGATCCCCTCCAAGCCACTCACCATCCTGACTTTGAAATATATCGCCTTTCCTTCACTGTCGCTGGGTCGGAATCCTGGAATTCTTACCCTAAGGGCATTGTGGGTCAACCCACAGCAGGAGGACTTAGCAGCTCACCATCACCTTCTCAAGGGCAACTAGGGATGGGCAAGAAATGCTGGCCAGCCAGTGACACCCAAGTCCAACGAGTGAATGAAAAAATACTGAGGGCTCAGATCAACAGAAACTCTAGATGCATGTAGAAACTAAAGAAATTAGGAAAGCAAAGAGGGGCCATGAGAAAATACTGGCAGGTAAAGTAAGTGAAAAATCAAAGGCATTTTATAAGCATCATGGTGGCAAGATGATGACCAGGTAATGAGTGGAGCCCATTAGCGACTTGAATGGCAAACTCAGTGAAGTAAAAATAAAAGTAAGTAAGGTTTTAAATGAGTATTTTACATACAGAGGGAGGATGAAGGATATCGAAATCAGGGAAGAAGCACGTGATATACTTGAACAAATTGTCATTGAGAGGGATGAGGTATTAATAGTTTTAGCAGGTTTAAAATCAGATAAATCCCCAGACCCAGATGAGATGTATCTCTAGCTGTTGTGGGAGGCAAGGGAGGTGATGCAGGGGCCTTGACACTGTGTTATGTAGTTAGAAAGGACAGAACACTGGAGACTGGAAGGATGAGTAATTATGGTTTGGACAACACCCAAAGCTGCTGGTGGAGTGGCACCAAAGACAACACTGTCACTCTTGTGATCCAAGTGAGTTCTTAGATTCACTTACCTTGTCAGTGGTAACTATGACTAGGAACTTTAGATGGAATATTGCTGCTCATGGATACAACTTGAGTATCAAAATGATTGGATGGGAAGTGAGAGTTCTTACAAAAAGAAGATCAATTTGGAAATATGGTGAGATTATAAACAATACCAGATTTATGTAGGAAATGATGGGAGTGCTTGTTAGTAAATTTTCTTGTAGTGCTTATTATATTGTTTAAATTTGAAATTTCCTCATTTGTTAATCAATATTTGATTTTTTTGTTGATTTTAGTTCCTTTACTGCAGCAAAATGTTTAAAGTGAAATATTGTCCAGTGGTGTTCTTTCCATTGGTTTTATGGGGACTTTTTTCTCCTTAAAAAGCTATCAGTCTCTGTGGGATTTATAACAAAATGTTAGAAATATAGAAACTAAGAACAGGAGTGGGCCATTCCGCTTTCTCGTCATACTTTTTCAAGCCTTTAAAATCTAACAATGTACACATCTCTTTCGCAGATATATTCAATGACTTGGCCTCCACAGACTTCTATGCAACCCTCACACCGCGCCCCCGCACCACATCCCCACCTTCAACTCCCACCCCACCCCCTGCTGCCCCCCCGCCTGCATCCCAGACTCCCCAGTTAGAGAAAATATCTTCCTTGCTTCTAGTCTGTCCAGCCCTATTAGAATTTTGTACGTTTCAATCAGATCTTCTCTCATCCTTCTAAATGTTTGTAAATGTAAGTCCAGTCAAATGAACCTCTCCCCACAGGACAGTCAAGCCAACCTTGGTTACAGCCTCGTGAATCTCCACTGTACTCCTTCTATGGCAGGTTTATCTTTCTTAGAGAGGGAGACCAAAACTGCACACTAATTAGAGGTGTGGTGTCGCCAAAGGCCCTGTGTAACTGCAGTGAGACATCCTAACTTCTGAACTCAAATCGTCTTGCAATGAAGGCCAGTATACCATTTGCCTTCCTAGTTACTTGCTGAACCTGCCTTTATTGACTGATGTACAAGGACACTCCGATCCCTTCGTATATCCACAGTTCCCATTATATTACCATTTCAATAATACTCTTCCTTTCTGAAGGAAATGTATAATTTCACATTTAGCCATCTGCCATGTTCTTGCCCAGTAATTCAACTTGTCGAAATCATCTTAAAGCCTCCATGCTGCCTCCTCACAACTCTCAATGCTGCCCAGTTTTGTATCGTCAGCAAACTTGAAAGTTTTGCATTTGGTTCCCTCCTCCAGGTCATTTATATGAATGGTAAGTAGCTGGGAACGACAACTGATCTTTGTGGTACTAATCACGCCAACCACCTGGAAAAACACCTATTTATTCCTGCTGCCTGTTTCCGGTCTGTCAACCAATTCTTAATCCATGCCAATGTATTACTCCCTATCCCATCTGCTCTGCTTTTGCCCACTCAGCTCTTTGAGGCAAAGCCTCTGAAAATCCAAATACACTGTATCCACTGATGCTGTGTCGATTTGAATTAAACTGCTGGTGATTTTGCAAACAGTCATCTTTTTAAAAATTGCAATTAACTTTCTAATACCTTGCTTAAGGTCAGGTGTATTAGCTACCTTTTTAGATATAATTTTTTTTTTCTTTCTTACAGCTCTGGCTTTTGAATTCTGACAGCCTGCTGGTGAGATCACACAACGATGTAAAAGGTGATTTTGCTGGAGTTGACAAGAAGGCTGTAAAGCCAGAGTCATCTCACAAATTTTGTGAAGGAAGCAACGCTGTCAAAGTACTGTATCAGCCCTGTTTAAACGGGAGAAACAAAATGTAAGTAATATTGTTTTCGATATTTCTGTGGAATTTTGAAAGAGCTAAAAGCTTCATGACTGCTGAAACGTGGGGCGAAACAATATCATGGGGCTGTCGGTGCTCTTAATTATAATATTATGATGTTAGTGAAGAAAAATTCAGCTCCGTTGATTTTCCTGTTGTTTAGCTCGAGGATAGCTGTGTGGCTGTCAGATGTTGTCTCTCATTATTGCACTGTGCTCCTGGAGCAGAGTCACTCCGGAGTTCACTCCGCTGTTGGGAAAGACAGAGATGTGCGGATAAACACAAACAACTGAGTCAACTACCGCGTGATTTTGTTTTGAAAAAACATCTCTTAGGTGTCACTGGCAGAGTTGACACTTGTGGTCTGCAGATGGTGCTTTGCAGGCACATTGTTGAACAGTTGGAGTTGATGTGATGAAGATACTTGTGCTATTATGTGGAGGGGCATTCGGGATTGTGACACAGTGGCAATGAAGGGATGGTGACATATACCCAATCAGGCTGGTATGTGACCTGAAGAGCAAGCTGCAGGTGATGATATGTCCTGTGTACCTGCTGCCCTTGATCTTCTCGATGGTAGATGTTGAGGACATGGAAAGTGCAGGTTGAAGCAGCCTTGATGAGTTGCTGCAGTGTCTCACGTCAGTGGCACAGACTGGTGACACTGGGCACGTGGTGGACTGTGTGAATGTTCGGTGTTGTTGGCTGAGGGAGAATTATAGGTCGGAGAACCACTTGGAGAACACGTTGGTTCTGAGCTCCATGAGGTGGCTATCTGAGATGGACTTTGGTTCTGTGGGCTGGATTAGGTGCTGAACATGGTCACCCTGCACCACAGCATAGATGTCTAGTCAAACCTGATTCTGTTTGGGCAGCTTGCCCTGCTCTGATGCTTTTAGCCGGTGACACTTTAATTGTTATGCGGAGAAACTTAAGCTGCCCTCCGTGAAGGAGATATGCCTCGGAGAGCTGCTGGCCAGTTTGAGAGTGGCAGCTCGGTAGTACCAGTGATGGCCACAGACCTCCAGCTAATACTGGGATTTCTCTGATACAGGGCTAGCAGGTCCCAGCTAGGTGGGTTGGTTGGGAGAGGGGTTATCTGGGGTAGGATAAGGTTGGTGTGGACTTGCGAAGGGAAAACTGTGGTGGAGGCAAGGCTCCAATTATATTGTTGTTTTCCCTCCTTCCTCCCTCTAGCCCATTGACTGGTGAGCAGAATGTGGGGTTAGACTGGTCGGGCTGCATATTGATCCCATTAAATCAGAGCGGCAGAAGGCAGAGGGCAAGAAGCTGGCTTTTAAAGGCACAAAGTCCTATTTTGTGGATCCAATAACCAGCTTTCTGGCTCATGAATGCTCCATAAAATCCAGCCCAGTTTCTCTCCCAAAAAGATGACAACTCTGACATTAGAATAGTCTGCACTGAAACATCGATGTCAGAATTTTCATACCTCCATCATCCTAACGTTGTATTTATCATGTGATGTCACTGTATCTGTTTGATAAACAAATTGCACTTGGTTAATCAGTGGTTCTGTACAAATTGTCAAAAGCTTTGAAGAGAATTAAAATGCGATGTTTCCTGGTTCCAAAGCAACACTGTTTCTAATAAACCTGGCGCAATTGATGAGGAAAACAGATTTGGATGAGAGGGATTATGCCATCACTGCTGTGATGCAGCACTTACTGCAGCACTGTTGTTTGCTGCAGTTCAGTTTCCAGTTATATTTTTAATGTTTTGTGTGCCTGTTTGAATTTGGGCATCTCTGGTGATTTGGAAAGGTCTGTTCTTAGCACCACTTCGTCATTGGTGAAATCAGACAACAGATTTCCACTAATACTGGGGTTTGCCAGTTGCATGGAGGGAGGTGAGAAGTGTGGCAGAGATGGAAGAGGGAGATTGCTTTTTAGAATGTTTAATTACACGACATTAATTTTTAATCTGTCTAATTAAGCTGAAGTGAGAACAATTTTTAGTTGTGCTCAGCTTTGTAAAATTAGCTTGTGTTTGCGATATGGCTGGAGGCTCTTCAATGTGAATGTAATTACTTCCAACATTTTCTACTTCAGAATATCTGATTGGCAGCAGAGCCTTTGCAGGACTCAGTGACACAGAATGGGTCATGAATATTTTTCTCTTTTCATGTGGCCTACTGAGTTCTCTGGTCAGCAGTATAATGGTCACTATGACAAAAAGTTTGAATGTTCATGATGTTGATCATCTGATAAATGCTTGGTTGGTGGCAGAGCATGTTTCCCATTTTGCTGCTGTCTCCTTTGTCTGCATTACCCAGTGCCTCTTGTACAGCTGGTGCTCTCTGCTTTTGTTTAAAAGGAATTTTATTGAAGAAATAAAAGCAATTGAAGTGCTCATTCCCTCTTGGTTTCATTAGAAAGACAGAAAAACTTTTCGTGAGCAGAGCAGGCCAGGTATAAATATCAATAAATGTAAACCTGTATCTGTTGATCCTTTAAACATTTATGTCAAATTTCTAGGCACAGTGGTTGATGAAATCATTGTTTTTTTTGAAAATGAACTGGGTAGGCACCATGTGATCTCACAACAACAACTTAAGTTTTTACAAACTGAAAGAACTGTGGAGGCTGTAAATCAGAAACAAAAATAGAAATTGCTGGAAAAGCAATGGCAGCATTTTTGGAGATAAATCAAGAGTTAACGTTTCAGGTTGAGTGACCCTTCCTCAGAACTGATGGTAGCTAGGAAAGTGTTGGTTTGTTTTCAGAAGATAGGGGAGGGGGTTAGGAGTTAATGATAGGTGGAGGTAGAGGCCAAAGAAAGAGCAGAACAGTTGGACAGACAAAAGAGTGGATAACCATCAGGCTAGGAGGGTGAATAGCTATTAATGGGGACTGTTAGTGGCTAACAATACCACCAGACACACATTCCTTCCTTTCCCATGTCCCTTTTTCTATCACTGTGAATATAGTGGGACATGTCAAGGAGTCTCAAGGAGGATTATAAAATAAAGTATGACATTGAGCCACTTGAGATAATAGATCAGATGAAAAGCTTGGTCGGCGAGGTGGGTATCAAGAAGTGTGTTAACTGAGAGCTAGGTAGAGAAGTGGAGAGGTGTAGGGAGATATTTCCAGTATTTAAGGCCTTGGCAGCTGAAAGCACAGCCACAGTTAGTGGAGTATTTAAATTTGGAGATGTACAGGAGGCCAGACTGAGAGAGGGTTGTGTGGCTGGAGGAAATCACAGTGATGAGGAGAGGCCATGGAGAGTTTAGGGAATGAGGGTGAAAAATTTAAAGCCAAGACGTTATAAGTCAGCAGCACAAGGAAAAGGGGGCAGGGACTTGGTGCGAAATAAGACACAAACAGTGGAACTTTAGATGACCTTAGGTTTACGGGAGGGATACAATGTGGGATACCATGGGGATGTGGTGAAGTGGTGGGGTCTAGAGTAATGAAGGGCTGAATGAGGGTTTTTGCATTAGCTGTGATAGGAGTGAAATCCAGTGATGTTACGGAGATGGAAAAGTTGTTGTCAGTAATGGTGTGAATATGAGCTCGGTAGTTCACCTCTGATTAAAATGTGACTGTTAGGGAGAGATATAAAGTCAGTAGCTGGAAATGGAGTTTGGAGTGCAGATTGAAATCAAATGTCGTCAGTCTTCCCAATGTTTAATTGGAAGAGAATTCTGCTTATCCAGCCCTGCATATCGAATAAGCGGTCTGCTACTTTTACAACAGTGGAGAAATCGAGAGAGTTGCTGAAGAGGTAGAGCCATATATCAGCAGTGGACATGTGAAAACTATTGCTGAACCTTTAGATGATGTTGCGATGGGATAGCATAGCATTTAATAATAGGAGGGTAGCCACAGATGGAACCTTGGGGGATACCAGAGATAACAGTACAGGTATAGGACACAAAACTATTGAAATTGATATTCTGGCTACAATTGGATTGATGGCAGAAACTTAATTGGAGGGATTCAAAAATGACGTTCTGGGAAGTGGGGAAAGGTTTTGGGAGGTAACAACACACTCAAGGACTTGACCAGAAACTGAGGGTGGACATGGATGCTGCTTTGTTAAGTGTTGCACCTCAATGGGGTGTCCAGTTAGCTCAGTTTGCTGGATGGTTGATTTACAATGCAGTGTGACACTAACAGCTTGAGTTCAATTCCTACACTGGCTATGGTTAACTTGAAGGACTTCCCTTTTCAACCTTTCGTATCACCTGAGGAGTGGGATCCTCAGGTTAAATTACCAGTTCTGAGGAAGGGTCACTGGACCTGAAACATTAACTGTGATTTTTTTCTTCACAGATGCTGCCAGACCTGCTGAGTTTTTACAGAAATTTCTGTTTTTGTCGTGTTAAATTACCAATAGTTGTCTATCTAATGAGAGAGCAGCCTTATGGTCCAATAGGACTATGGGGACTTACTTTTTATCTCAGTGGGACAGCTCACTGGAAATCAAGCCTCTCCGTTCCTGCAGTGGTCACAATAGTTAAAGATTATATCTAAGTCTGCAAAATCTGCAATTTGCCTGCCTGGTAAACTCAAGTTAACAGGAAACATGGAACAGCTTTCTGTACTTAACAGCAATGACTACTTATTACAAACAAATTGGTTCTAACCACAGGTATATAACTATACCCTACATACAGCCAAAAATCATTGATTTTATAGGTGGAGGAGGTTAAAAATCTCAGGAACAATTCAATCCGTGAGATTGAGTAGAGGGGTTCCTTTGGTTTTCCAAATCCTTTGGTTTTTTTGCCTCATCACAGGAGGCACAGAGCAATTTATTCACAAATTATAAAGTCTCTGTTTTGTTACATAAAAGCAACATCTTACAGAAACACTGGCGGGAGAAAATAAACTGGCTTTCCTCAGGCTTTAGGTATTTTCCTGGAGAAAGAGAGAGCGAAAGTGATTTAGTTACTCAGGAGCTAATCAGATAGTTGTTGCCAGGCTGGTTACTACTTCACAGACCAATCAGCAACTTGCTGTCGGCCA